ATGTCAGACCTCCTCCCCCACCTGCCCCCACATTCATGCAGTCACAGTCGAGAGCTGTGCTTCTAGCACTGTTGCATTGCCAACACACAGACTGACAAAAACCTCCTCTGCAGGCTGAGTGCAGGGGCTCACATGATCCGTCTGGAAGTCTGTGTTTGCTGTGGGCTTGGGTGCAATTCCAGCCTCCCCCACAGGCTGTGTGTGGATGTCCTGGGCAAATTACGCACCTGTTGGAGGGTTGGCTCTTCCTGAGTCAGCTAAGGCCTGCCTGCCTCATGCTGCGGTGTGGGGCCACGGGTGGCATAACCCTGGGAAGACCCTTGGTGCATACAAACGTAGGGTGTTGTTTCTATTGTGTGGCAATCAGATCAGCTTGGTCCTTTCAAACCAGAACTTATTTTAGAAATGACATATGCCCAACAGAATCACCCCTGGACCCAGGTCTGCCCATAGAGATGAGATAGGACAGAGATGATGAAATCTGATGCTACTACTCACCAGCTGGGAGACCTAGGGCAACTCTTTGAACCTCAGTTTCTTCATCTGTAGAATGGGGCTGATGATAATGGTATCTACTTTTAGGGTGGTTGTAAGGATTATATGGCAAAATCTCAATGCAAAGGGCTTGGAACACTACCTAGCACATAGTCAGAACACAATCAGTGCTGGCTGTTATTATTATTATTGTTATTCCCAGCCCAAGCTAAGCCCACAATCCTGACTCTCCTTCCCTCATTCATGGGACAAGCCCTGTCTGAGCACCCTGCCAGGAATTGTTAGGGCAGTGGATCCTAACTGGGGCCCCAACTGAGACCCCGGAGCGCCAAGAACTTACTGTTCGGTAGAGGAGACAGAATCCTACACTACCGACGTCTCTTTAGGGCAGAGGCTTCCTGGAGGAGGTGTGGCCTGAGTTGCATCTGAAGCATAAGGAGACAGCCAATTGAAGAAGGAGCTGGAAAGCAGTTGGTTGGAAGCGCATAAGCAAGGGGTGTTTGAGGAGCTGCAAGTGGCCCTGCCTTCCCAGGACCAAGGGTCTGTGTAAGGGGGTGGGATGGGGGGGGCGGTGGGATAAAGGGTGAGGTTGGCAGAGGCGGATGCTGAAAGGCCACTTGGAGTAGAGGAAGGAAAGCCGAGGAGACTCTAGAAGATCCTGAACTAAATCGTGCTAGTGGACATAGAGAAAGGGAACATACGTGAGAGACGTTTGCATTTCATAATTATGGGTTGAATGAGGCAGGGCAGACAGGATCTGGTTTTTTATTTCATGATGAGGGGCAGGGGCGAGGGAGATGGGAGAGTCTAGGTTTCTGGTTGGGGCAGCTGAGGCATCCACGGGCGAGGGGAGAGGAAGCCACCAGAGTGATGTTGCTGCCTGGGGAGAGAGTGTGGCCTGAGCAGAGAGCTCAAGGCAGAACCCTGTGAGACACCCCAAAATTTGAGGGGTGAGCTGAGAGGAGGAGGACTAGGCAGCAGGAAAACCTCCCTCCAGTGGGGCACCTTCTCCACCCCTCCACAAATCCAGACTCCAGCTGGGCTGGAACCCGCCTCCTCCGAGTCCCAGGTGGTCCCGGGTACTCGCCACACTTCACCTGTGCTGCTGGTGACCATCTTGGATGTGGGTGTCTTGTCCTCCAGCATCCCCGAGGGCAGGGTGCCCCACACAGCAGTCCTGGCACACGGAGGTGCTCAGCGGATGCCCGTGGGTGACGGCCGCTCTGGCCAGATGACAAAATTGCGGCTACCACAAACACAGGCTTCCCCTACGTATCCGTCTTCCCTAACCCCCAGTCAGCCACCCCACCAGGATCCACATGCCCTCACCCCAGTTCCAACCTCCTGACGCTGAAAGTCAAGTCCAGATAACAGAGGGGGGCATGGAGGTGCCGCTGCCACAGTTCCTGCCCCCTGAATCCAGAGGTCCTGCCCAAGCAGCAGGGCCAGCCGGCAGCATGGTAGCCCACCTTCCCTCGATTTTGAGAAGTTGGGACCGATGCCACACCGGATTCTGTCAAATAGCATCTCTCCAGGGCATGGACCAAGGAGTAAGATCAGAGTCAGACCCTGATCTCCCTAAGCACTTCCTCGCCGAGTGACCTAGGGCAAGTCTTTTAACCTCCCAAAGCCTCCATTTTTGCAGAGGGTCCTAGTGAAGATTAAATAATCCCCTTAAACGCTTAGCATTGTGCCTGACACCTAGTTAAGCATTCAATAAATGGCAGCTATTATTATTATTAAAGAGCTTCCCGGCATGCTGATGCAAGTTAGAGCAAACTAAAATGACTTTGACAGCTCCCTAATGCAACACCTTCCACCCTGGAGTTAATTAGAACCTTCCTTGGGTGTTTTCCAGAGACGGGACTTTTACACTTATTCTGGGTTGCAGAACTAGAATAAATGGAGGCAGGTTTCGGTTCACCTGCTAAAAAGCGAAAAGCTTCAAGAGGTGATGAGTTCCCCATCACCTCATGTGAACAAGCTGACCCAGATGACCATTTGGCACTAATGTTTCTGGACAATAAATCAACAGGTATTAATATTTCTCGCTATGCAACTGTATTATAATTCCCTCGAATAAAATGATGGTGCCAGTAGGCTGTAGTGCTTTGTGTCATTATCTGGCAAAATAAAAAATTGGCAATCCTAACTTGCCCTCCAAAAAGTTTTGAAATTGTACCAGTTTGTGATATCCAAAACCTTAACCCTTGCTTCACAGACTTCCTTCCTGGGTCTAAGGTTCAAGACCCCCCCCCGACCCCGACATAGACACCTACACAGCCCTCTGTTTGATGTCCAATTTGGACCCATCTCTTATGCAAGAGGCCTTGAGTCTAAAACGTGGCTCAGATCAAGCTGTGGAAATCCCTGGGCAGTACTGAAGAGCCACTTTCCCAGCAAGTGCCATCGGGGCTGGGCTGGGCCAGGGAATAGAGATTGTGGCTTAAGAGTTCAAGTGGATGCTCGAGTAGGACCTGGACTTGGTGACCTCTCGGATCTGCTCCACCTGCCAGAGTGCCCGGTACAGAACTTGAGAGGGACCCAGGAGGTAGCCTGATCCCTCCACCCACCAACACTCAACCCCGGACTCATCTCTCCTCCACGGCTTCAGCCCTCAGGGAACCTCTCCTGGAATCCAGCATGGCAGCGACCTTCCTCTGGGAAAGGTGCAGCAGGCTCAGGATGAGTGAGGAGTCAGCCAGCAGGAACTGGATGGACCCAAGTTCTTGGGACTATACCTCCCCATCTTGTGTCCCAACGCAATCTCGCACCCAATCACCCCAAATGAAACTCCATTTTCTCAACTCTTCAAGCTTTGAAAAATCACCTGCCTTTGTAACCCAGGGCTCCCTGAGGTTGACCCCACTGCAAATTCAGCTACACCCTAGGGTTACTGCCTAACAAGAAAGCAGGTGTCTGTGCAGCGACGGGTCTTTCTAGCATACAGGGAAGATCAGACCGTTCTGGATGTCTCCCTTTTGTGACAGGCCTTCCCCCTCCTCCCCAATCAAGCACCGGGCTGGGGAGACCCCAACTGTCCTGGATTGTGATGGACCGCCCCCCACACCCCTCCTGCCAGAAGAAAAAGGAGCTGTAGGACAACATGGAATCAAGTATACATTTTAAAAATTGTTTAATGGAACATAAACTCCTTTAGAAAAACATTCAGCCAGGTGATAACACCCATAGAAAAAAACACCAATCTCGTGTTTATCTTTTTTAATTTGGCATTTGTTATTTGCATTTATATTAAAGCAAAGTGCATCTTTTCTTTATTTTTCTTGTTTATACACATTGCACAATACATAAATAATGATGCTTATAAAACGTCTTTATATTTACAAGTAATAATATATTTATATATAACATAAAATACATTTTTTCTTTAATAAATCTCGTTTTTTCAGGAGTCCTTTCTCTCTCAAAAGCACTACAATGCTAAATTTCCAATGAGAATGCTTCTCTTGTTCATTTAAACCTTTGTAGTTAGAAAAATAGCTTATGTTAAAGTCTAAACATGCTCATTGAGCTAAGAGCAGTGTCAACGTATCATACGAGTGTATGAGTTATAGAAGAAATGAAAAAAGAGTCAGGGTCAGCCCAGGATGGTACCTTGGGTGATGATGGACCGAATCCTTCTTCGTGGGAAGGGGGGCTGCTGAGAAGTCTCCCTCCCAGGGCTGCTCCCCTCGCTGGTCTAACAGCAGAGCTCAACACACAGGCTGCGCAGGGGAGGAAAGTGCTGAGCTGGTTTTCTGAGTCCGGGAAAAACCTGATGTAACCAGGGCAGGGGAGAGGCTGAGGGGCCTGAGAGGGCACTGGCTGAGCAATACTGTGACGGGGCTGCCCCGGCAGCCCTTGGGAAGCCCATCTCAGAGATTTCCAGGAGCAGATGGCCAAAAAAGAAAGACACGACAATGGCAACGGGGTGGCTGGAGGAGAGTAAGACAAGCATGGAGGCAGTGGGTTCTGGTTCAGCCTCTGACAGGGCTGCTTCTAAGAAGCCTGCAGACAGGCCCATGTCCTAGAAGGTGAGGAGGGGCGGGGACTTCCCCAGGCTGGGGGCAGAGCCTTGCTGCTGGCAGCTGCTGGGACACTCATGCGGCTTGCCCAGGTACTGCCTCTGCCCGCTGAGCATGTCCAAAAGGGCAAGAGAGACAGCTTGGCAGCGCAAACCTCTCAGCCGGAGACATCCATAAGAAACACACAGAGCATGCCACTTCCCCATCTGCCGTTCACGGGCACACACTCATAGACACATACACACTGGCTCACACATAACCATGACAAGGGAAATGCCCCCAAGTTAGGGCCTGCTCCCCACGCATACACTGTGTTTGGTGGGACTTTGATTTCTGCTTCCCCTCTTCATATTGGGGTGTTCTGCCTACCATACCACCCCGCAAAGGACCCAACAATTCTTTTCATAAGCTATTTCTCAAAGAACAAAACAAAACAGAACATAAACAAGAACGACGAGAAGGAAAAAAAAAACAAGGACCAAAGAGTTTGCATGAAAAGCAAGCACTCAGGAGGAAAACATTAGCAGCAAAGTAGTTTGGACTGGGCCCGCTCGGCTCACGCTCTGTCCTCTCCCCACGTGGCTACCGGCTGTTGAAGATGACCTCCAGCCAGCACGGGCAGCTGCTGATGAACTGGCGGGTATAGCACTGGCCCCAGCCCTTCACGAAACTGATCTGCACAGTGAAGCCAGTCCACGGCTGCTGCATGAACTCGTGGTCGTTGGGCCGCTGCAGGCTGTACGCTTTCTCATAGTCAAAAGCCTTGATGGAGAAACCGGGGAACACCTTGTGTACCAACAGCGTCCTGGAGTCCGGGTTGTCCAGTGTGGCTGACTTGATGAAGATGGGGTAACTGCTGCGGTTGTACACCCACACGCCATCCACTTCCCGCGTTAGCTGGATGCCACAGCCGATCTTGCTCCGCACTTTCTGCACCAGCTGACTCTTGTTGTCCGAATTGAGCTGTCCGAGGCAAAAGCCATTCCCCTGAGGTAGATCATAGAAGATGTCCAGGGAGGGCTCCTGGACACAGTAGAGCCTCCCTACTCTCGTCTTCTCCTCCCAGTATGCCACCACGCACCAGTGTGACCGATCCCCAGGCTCCAGAAGAAGTTGGGAATCTGTAAAACAAAATGGTGGACATGGTTGGTGGTGATGGGAATGGTATTTTCCTCTTCCTCCTGGAATCAAGACACACATACACACACGTACCCCCATAACCAGCTCATCTCTCAGAACAAGACAGAAGGAGGAGGTGATGGTGCTGGGTTTGCTGCAGGCTCTAATCCTCCTACGGGGGCCTGGAAATCTGACCCACTGACAGAAGAGCCCTGCCTTTAAGCACGGGGTTGGGGTGCTTGTTCCCTCCACTCCCCCCCATCCTGTCAGGGACCCAGGACACCAACATGTGTGCCCACCTGGCCAAAGGAAGCCCCATCCCTGCAATGCTCAGGAGCCAGGGGACACTTAGTAACTTGGTTGGTCCTGGCTTTAGGGCTAGAAAAGGCCTTACAGACAGAGTCTAGAATTACAGCCTTTAAACTGAAGGGAACGTTGAAGGCCAGCTGCTCCAGACCCTTGTCATCCTCATGAGAAAACCAGGACCCAGAAAGCTTGTCGCACAGCCAGACCTAGAATCAGGTCTCCAGACTCCACGACCGCCTGCTATACAGTCTCTGTGCTTGTCACCCAGTTCTCAGATTGGTGCCTTAGTCATAAGGGAGGGCTATCTGGTAAAAACTAAAATGGAGGTGGTTTGGGGCAAAAACATCTATCTTCCTAATAGAAAAATCACCCTCAGTGTGTCTGCCAGTGGCAGCTTTGTACACAAAGAGCGAGTTCATGTCAAAATGCCAAATGACAACATGCAGAGTGGTGTTAACCCAGACTACCTTCACGAAGCTTCCTCTCGCCCAGACAGAAGATTATGTGTCTAAAATGGGTGCAGCCATGCTTGAAGCGCCCTTCTCTGCCTGCACCCCTCTTTCCCCTCCCTCTCCAGAAGCATCTAGACTCAGTGCCCTGCCCCCTCCTTCCTCCCTCCCCTGGAGGCCCCACCTCAGCTTTCCCAGACGTGGTTCTTCCAAAGGCAGCCAGGGAGACTGGGGTGACTCTGTTAAGGTGATTTTCCTACACAGACGCTCAGAGGTCTTTAAAGGGAGGATCATATGGAAGGAAAGGGAGCCCCAGTGCCTGGCATTCCGACTCCTCCTTAAGCTGGAGCCAGCAGGGCAGGCCTCAGACTGGGAACCATAAATCTCCCCGGCTCGGTCGGGCTGCAGGAACGCCGTGGTTTGTGGTGGCAGGGCGGAGACCGGAAGTCTTGTATTTGTTAACAAAAATGGGGAAAAGCCAGGCGGCAGAGGCCTCCTCCTGCCCTGTCTGCAGCCCTTGCTCCTCACTCTCTCGGGGGGGGGGGGGTTGGGGCATGAAGGTGGGGGTTGGCTGTGAACTGTTTTTTGGTTTCTCTGGCCTTCCTGATTTTGGAACAACTGAGGGTCGACGACAGTGGGCTGGGGGTGGAGGAGGGCTTGGGCCCCGTGTCCTGCTGCCCCGGCAGGCTGGGTAACCCAGTGCAGCTCAGCACACCAACTCCTTCCAACATCTCCAGGCATGTTAGGACCTGGGAACGAGTCAGCTCCATTAATTTTTTCTTTTTCCAAACAGCAGCCAGTCTTTCATGGAGGTGCCCCGTGAATAAGTCTGTGCAAATGTGCGTTGTGACCCACTGAGGCAGCCGCACACACACACACACCCTGAGCAGCCGTCTCCTACAGACACCCCACCTAGCCTTCTCAAATGTCTATCCAGACAGCTACACAAAATGGGGAAGCTGAGGGCTCCTTCCTCTCCCCTCAATCCCCGCCCCACTGAAAACCAACCCTAGAAAACTGGCCTGTCACCCCCAATACATACAGCTATACAGTACAAGTGTGAGAGAGACTGTGTGTGTCCATGAGTGTGAGCACACGTACGAGTGTGTTATGTGAGCGTGTGTTTGCGTGCGCACACACTGGAACATATGGAAAAACAAGAGAGGGACAAGGGGTGCGAGCAGAAGGTGACTCATCGGGCATTAACTTGTTTCTGCAGAGTATCCATCAACGGCTAATAAACTCGTGAGTGCTGGCAATCTTTGAACCTTCTTGCTGAGGGAGTTCAGCTCTGAAGGCTACGCTAAAGACCCACAACATCCATGGAAATAAGACGACTCTGGCACGCAAGTTTGCTGGGAAGGAGAAAGCCCTCTTCTGGAAGGCACAGGGCATCCGCCTGCCCGTTTTGGGGAGGAGGGTGTTTTGAAATGTAAGAAGCTCTTGCTTATGATCCCAACTCAGGCCAACAAACCTGGCCTGGAGAGGAAGACTCGAGGAGTCGCCGGGAGGGAGGGTCAGGAGACCCTCGGCGGAGCCTCACAATACTCTGTTTCATGGAGTCCAGCCCCCCTGAAACCTGGCACCCGCTAGCAGGGGGGGAGGAGGAGGAGCGGGGTGGGGGAGGAGATGGAGGAGGGGGAGGAGGAGGTTGGAGGTGGGGTGGGGTGGGGGCCTGGGATCGAGTTGCCCAGGCCAGGCCCACTGGCAAGGGGTGGGGACCTTGTTTGCCCAGTGGGCCTCGGTGGGCAGAGGAAGCTGGGCGGGGGCTGGGGCCTGAGGTCCACTAGACCAAGCCCAGCGCCGTGGGGGGAGAAGGGGGAGCATTCTGGAGGGTTTCTCTTTCATCTGTGCAGCCCTCCAGTCCACCCAGCAATTTGCTGCCAGACATCCCCTGGAAAAAGCTTTTCTGCTGAGGTTAATGGCCCGGCCCAGATAAACGGCAGCGTGGGGGTGTCCCCGTGTGTGAACAAGGCCCCTGAAAGCCCACTCGGTGCCCTAATCTGGTACAGCAGGACCCCTGCCTACTCCTCCCTTCCACTGGCCCTCCAAGCCGCCCCCATGTCACCCCGCGGCCTCCCAGCACCCTGATACCCACCTTCTCCCTGTTCCTGGACTATCTCTGAGCACAAAAACACACTCTCCAGCAAAACCATTGCAACGGCAAAGGCCCCTTTAACGCATCACACTTCTGGGGGCCCGGCACAACATCCCACACTGCCAATTCAGAAATGTGCCCCGAATTCCCCGCGACGTGGGCTCACTTCTGGGAAGCGCTCAGCATCATCTTCAGAGAAACACAGTTCCCTGAACTAGGCCCTCAGCCCACAAGCATCTCCCCACAAAGGTCTGTGAAGACGCTTAGCTCCTGGGGGCTTCCCAGGCCTCACGGTGAGGAGCTGGGAGGGCCTCCCACAGAAAAGTCTCCCTCTTACCAGGCAGGACTAAGGAAGAGGCTCGAAGCCCAACTTGGGCTTCTTGTCACGGCTGCGGACACTTAAACCTCCAAAGGCAAAACTCGTGGTCCCTCGTTAATTTCCCTCAACTTTACAACCTTTTCCAATATTTTCGACAACTTCTCTCCCCATCAGAAAACTGTACAGGGGCTTGTTTTAAAACTCTATTTGTGCATTTTAAAGCATTCAAAAGAAAAGCTGTGTTGTAAAACACTAACTAATCAGATGCCTGCTCACAATTTTTTCTTTTTATTACAGTTTAGGGATTTTTTGGAGCAACCCCAGAAAAATGCTGAATCGGCCTAAAATTCCTTTAAGGTCGTTTTTCCCCCTCCCCTCTCCCATTTCCCTTAAAGCATAAAATCTATCCTTTAAAAGGAAGGGGGAGGTGGGTGTTGAGAAGGGAAGGATTTTGCCCTGTGTTTGCACTTCCATTAGGGAAGACCACTTAACAAGGTGCTCCCTGCCTCTTACAAAGAGTTATTTAATTACCTTAGTCATGAATGAACAGACCAGACCCTTCTAGAAGACCTGAGGCTCGTGAATGAATCACACCCAGGGTCTCAATGGCACGGTGATCAGACCTCAGGGCCATATTTTAGGTAAGAGAGGAATTTTCCCCTTTTTAAATTTTTTATTTGAAGGTGTGAGGAAATGAAGAAAAATGGAGGGAGAGAGGAAGGAGGGAGGGAGGGAGAAAAGGCCAAGTTCAGTGCCTCAATGGTACCATGTCTGGTCTCCAGCTTATGGAGTCAAGCATGAGGCCAGAGAGGCAGAGCTGTTCTGATAACACCCCGTGGGATTCGGAGAACACAAATGTGCACAAGAGTGAGGCCATCTGAGCATAGCTGTGCTGATGTGGTGGTGCTAAGGGGAGAGGGGGGTCCCCGAGATTCTAACCTTTCAGGACAGGGACACACTTGGGAAACCAAGCCAGTACAGACAAGGCCACAGCAGCTGTAGTCCACTGCATTAAATGTGCTCCTTGCCAGGGCACAAGAGGGCGGGAGTAACAGGCGGGCAAGGAGGGGTCTCAACCCCATCTCGTCTCCTCGAGGCATCGACTGTAAAGGGGTATTTCTCTGCCAAAATCCCACAGTGGGACAGGCCTGCGAGCCCTCTGCCCAGTGGTCCAGCAGAGCAGAAGGCTGAGGATGGAGAAGCCAAGGAGACAGGAGCCTGGGGAGAAATGGCTGCCGCACTCAGGCTGATGAGGGCACACGGAGGGCACAATGGAAACCCATTTAAGTTAAACCCAGCAAATCTGGAACACAAACGTTGCCACGCTTCGCCCTCCGCAGGTCCAGGGTCCTCCCTCCTCGGGACTCCGGCGCCGCTGGCTGCTTCATCCTTTCCTTCCCCTACATCAGGTATCTCAAAGGTTAACAGCACCCATCAGCCCTGCTCCCCACCCTGCTCAGGAAACCGGCTGTTCTGAGAGCAACCAGCCCACTTCGGGGACAAGGACTGCAATAAACAGGACCAGTGCCAATCCATCAGATCTACTCCCAGCCCAAATACTCACAATTAACAAGGACCCTTGTTGGTGTCTTATTTTTAAGAGGCTAATGACCAAAAACTAAAGCAAACACATAAAAAAACTTGCTGAGGTATCTGGCTTCAATCTGGGTTCTGGGTAGATTTACCCAGTGTTTATTACAACTTCATCCAGAACACGAAAGATTCCCAAGGCAGCACAGACAACTCTGGGGTTTAGAGCAAGTTACCCATGGGGGTTGAAATCAACTCAAAACGTTTCAGGTTAACTCTCAGTGACCCAGAAAACGCTCA